TGGGGCTCCGGGCGCTGCTCCCGGGCTGGCTGGCACCTGGCAAGGCCTGGCGCGGGGCAGCCAGCGCGCCCGTTAATGGCCCTCGATTGCGTTTTCATTCGTTAATGGGGGACTGATCCTCGCCAGGCGAGCTAATCTGCTCGTCCATCTCCTGGCCGGGAGGCAGCCGGCGCTGCCTGAATACAGATCGGGCTCGGGCAGCGCAGCCCTCGTGCCTCCGTGCTGCACGCCGCTGCGTGGGCACGCGTGTGTGCACGGGTGCTTGTGCGTGTGTGCGGGCTTGTGGCATGCGTGCTTGGGCGTAGGCCTGTGGGCTGGCGTGTGTGCTTATGCCTGCGTGCACATGAGCGTATGATTCTGTGTGTGTGTGTGTGTGTGTGTGTGCGCACGGGTGCATGCCCATGTGTGTCTGCGTGTGCCACTTTCTCCCAGGCATCTGTGTCACAGGTCCCGGGTGCCAGGGGCAAGCTTTGGCCCGGACTGAGCCCAGGCCCTTCCTGCCCGAGCAGCCCCCGCGTGGGGCCGTGTGTCCGCCTGGCCCCCGCGGCACAGGTGGCCCCGGGGCTGCGGAGGGCAAGGGGAGCTGCAGCAGCCGCAGGCACCACCCGTGTCTGGCTGCTGGGCGTGAGATATGTTGGGGCTCGGGGAGGCCTGAGCAGGGTCCCCCCTGCCCCTTCCCCAGGCCTGGAGCCTCTCCCCTCGCTCCCTTGGCTGCTCCGTTTGGCAAACCCTGCCCGGGCGCTGTGTGGGGCAGGGCCGGGGGTCCTGTGGCCACGTGTCTGGCCGTGGGCAGTGGGAGAGGGAAGGTCCCTGGCGCGCTGGGCCAGGGGCTGGGAACAGACCCATGGGGGGAGTCTGCGCGCACAGGGTCTTGGGAGTGTGAGCCAGGCCTGCGTGTCTCGGGGGTGTGCAGGGCAGTGGCTGCATGTGCTGCGGGTGTCCGTGCATGTGCGTGAGTGTGTGTCCCAGGTGCCCGTGTGTGTGCAGCGGCACGTGTGTGCATTAGGGTCCCAGATGTTCACGTGTTCAGGGATGCATGCATGTGTACGCATGTCTCAGATGTCCGCGTGTGTGCAGGGATGCATGTGCATGTCAGAGGTGTCAGTACGTGTGCAGGGATGCATGTTTGTGTGTATGTGGCAGGGGTGTCCACATGCGTACAGGGGTGCATGTGTGTGTATCAGAGGTGCCCACATGTGCCCGGTGGCAGGCGTGCAGCAGCCGGGTGCAGTCTCGGGGGTCCCCTGCCTGGGCAGGGCAGCTGTGGCCTGGGGCCCGCGGCCTGGCTGAGTCCTGCTCCCGTGTGCCTGCACGCTCCAGTCCGCACCGAGGGGATCCTGGTGCAGGCCCGCGAAGGGCCCGCCTGGCTCGGGCCATCCTGGTTGTCCTCTCACTGGCTGCCCGTGCCCTACAACCCCCGGCACACCCCCTGCCCCTGCCCCTGCCCCTGCCCCTGCCCCTGGCTCGCTGTGCCCCGTGGCAGCTCCCCAAGCCTGCGCCGTCTCTGCGCTGGGCCAGGCTCCGGTTGGGGCTGGGGTCCCCGGGCCCCCCACTCTTGCTGCCTGCGCTGCCCGGCCCCGGATCACGCTCTCCTCTCTCTTCCTTTGCAGAAAACTGGGCACTCGCGGCGCTTTGGGCGCTTCACGCATGGTGCGTTGAGTTACCCGCATGCGGCCCCCACCCCCCAAGCGTGACCGGTGCCCCAGGCTCACGGGCCAGCCTCCCCTATCGTCCCCGGGGTCAGCAGCTGGCGGGCACTCGGGAGGGCGCACGGGGGGCAGATGCACAGACAGACCAAGGAGCCTGGGCACCGTGTCTCCACCTGCCAGGCCGGCCTTCCCCACGCGGCGCGGCGGAGCGACGTGGGGCCCCTGCGGCAGGGCCCAGAGCTGCCCCCGCCTGGGGGTTCCTGGGGGCAGGGGTGGTCCGTGCAGCGCTGGCCGGGCTCTGCCGGGGTGGGCTGGAGCAGCGCCGTGATGGGGGGCCCAGCAATGCAGGGCTCCGGTCTGGAGCACCCCTGTGCCAGGGGGTGGTCAGGCCAGCCGTGTGCTGCAGCGGGGCAGGATGGGGACTCTTCCTGGGTGACTGAACTGGCGCCGTGTCCCGTGGCGCCAAGTGTGGCCGGCTGCAGCTGCCTGGGCCCAGGTCTCGCACTGGCGTCTCCGGGTTGGGGCGGGCTCGGCGCTGGCTCTGGGGCAGCGCTGTTTCCTCCTGCCGTCACGGAGGTCCCCGGCCACAATGGCTGGGGACAGCGGGGCCCTGGGCGCTGCCCGAGCATGCCAGTGATGCGACGGGGGTCTCGCCGTGATCTGGTTGGGGGCACCGGGGCTGAGGGTGCCGGGGGAGGCCGTGTGTGTGTGCATGGCAGCACAGTGCCCACATGTTCATGTGTACATGCGTGTAGCTGGACAGGAGTGAGCATGGCCAGGACTCCGTGCGTGTCCCTGGTGGGTTGCAGTGAGCGTGAGCACTCTCACGTGGGTGCCACGTGGGCAGAGTGGGGCGGCCGCAGGCTGGGGCTGTGCCCGGCTGTGCCAGTGGCCCTGCTGGGACTCAGCGCCGCAGGGTCCTGGCTGGAGGCTCTTGGCCCTGCTCACGCCGCCCTGGGGGGGCAGGCAGGGGTTTGCCCCTGGCTCAGCCTGCCCGGCCGGGGCGTCCGCTCGCTCTGCAGCGGGGCACGGCCTGGGCCTGGGCTCTCCCGGGGCTCTCGGTGCCTCTGGGCCTCGTCGCTGCACATGGGGTCGGGCTGGGCTGTGGGGAGCTCTCGGGGGGCAGGACTTGCTGCCCCCCAGGGCACAACTCAGACCTGGCTCCCCCTTGCCCCTGGGGCAGGGGTTGTGGCCTGGCTCTCATGCCGGGCTGCCCCGGGGTGGTCTGCGTATCCGCGCCGCCGGCAGCGCTGACCGCGCGGCGCCTCCCTGGGACCCGCCTGCCCATTCCCAGGCTGCGCTGGGCCGCCGGCACCGTGCATG